GATGCTCAAATCGTACCAAGTTGTTGATTGTAGTGCCCCCGGACAGAAGAGCTGGTCCATCAGCTTGCCCTGGGCCAAGGCATCCTCCGAAATTTCCATCCCCCAGCCCTGACTGCCACCCGTCCTCCTCCTCAGCGAGCGGGGGTGCAGCTGTCAAGGCTGCAGGAAGGAGACCCCGAGGCCAGGAAGCCTCACTGATACCGAGCCGGACTGATCAGCGTGTCCGAGCGACTGTATGGTTTGGAGTCCAGATGCGCGGTGGACAGTGGTGAGCAGATTACATCCCCAGGCGCGGAGGACGCAGACCCCGGTACTCGCTTGCATTCCGGACACTTGTTAGGCATGGAAATAGTTGATGGTGTATGAGTTCGACGCTCACGAGGCCAACCCCCTCCATATAGCCAGTGTAGCCAGTAAGTTCCGAGAGACGTGTGCCGTGTTTCTGCTGGTCACACTGCCGTAGTAGAAGCTGGAGAGGTGTCCCGCCTACGCATCATACAAATCCTCCCCCGCAGAAGTTCTGGTCAGCCTTACGCCGACCACGAAGAATTGCTTGGCACTGTTCGAATCCAAAACATCTGGATACTACTCCTCGGGGAACGTTTTATTTTGTCCCGTCAGACATGATCCACCGAACAGTGCTCTGAGGACCCCAGCCCCTCGCAAGGAAGTGTACGATGACGGCAGCCATTGGACCCTGATGAGCCTAGGCCGCCGTGCATCTAGAAGGACACTCCCGAAGTCCAGGAAGGAGAGGCTCTCAAGCTCGATGTGCCTGTGCTCGGGCGTTCGGACTCTCAAACCACGGACGGAGCCACAACCCCACACTCATCATGATATTCGATGCATGGGCCCATGCCAGGCCATGTGACTACCAGCAGCGACGCCTTGCAGATGCTACGGCCTCCCGTCCCGCATACTGCAGCCAGGCTGCGGTGGAAGACCTCTGGCGGCCGGCCGAGGGCGCCGTGAATCTGGTGACAGACGTTGCCAGCAGCTGCCGCGCTCGTACGTCTGGCCTGCTGGTGATGCCGTGCGTCGGAGAGGATCTCGAAGAACGCACGATCCTGCTGTGGTGCCTGGCGTGCGTGACCGTCTTCCTGCGCCGAGCGTGACGGGCGCCGCCGCCGTGGTCAACGCCGAGGAAGGGGGCCTTCAGCATAGCTGTGCCTTGAGATCCACGAATACGGAGCTTTCGGGAGATCTCCTTAGTGTCCCCGTCGATCGGGCAGAAGCATCCCGCGTTCAACGCGCCAGCTCGTCACAGGTGTCCGCCAGGCAGGCCGTGACAGAGCTCCGCAGGGCAGTGCTGGAGCCTGTGACGTGTTCGATCCGATGACTGAGCCAGACGTGGGCCGACGGAATGCTGGTAGGAATGATGTTCGTCATGCACTTCGCGAGCGTGTTGCGGGCGTTGCCCAGTACTGCCGCGAAGCATGACTCCTGATCAGCGCCATACCACTCATAAACATGTTGCTCGCGGATCATTGACCATACTCGTCCCAGAAGGGACATAAGGCCGATGATGCGATCGCCCTCACTCTTTTTGGGTGAGTAACTTCCCTATCACCAGCTGAGTCGGAAGTTGCCACGTGAGTGTGGTTTCGACATGCTGGTAAGGAGCTGCCAAGCGGCGAGCTGCTGCACACACTTCCTGCCCCCGTGGTTGGATCAAACGGTTCCTCTCTGGCGGCCTCGCGTGACCAGCTGGCAGGGCGGCGCGAACCGCCTTCCCCTGCCCCGCCGCGGCTCCTCCCACAGCATCGCGGCCGCTGGGTGCGGAGGGTGCGCCGGACGCCCCTCCCCACACCCCCGGCGGCGCCACCGTCGCCGCCATGGCGTGCATCCGCGCGCCCGTGAAGGGGTGTGGGGAGAGAGATGCCGCCCCACCCCGATGGATCCGCGCGGGCTTCCAAAAGGTCTACGTTCATGCAGTCTCGCTGTTGCTCTAGGCTCAGCGCGCTCGGCGCACGGGTGACAGGGGTGAGGGGAGAGAGATGCAGCCTGCGCAGATCCAACAGATCCGCGTGGACTTCCGGAAGTTTGCGTCTTTGCAGTCTTGTTGCGGTTTTGTGTTCACGGGGGGTAGGTTTGGGGCGGGTGGGTGTGTTGAGGCATCGCTATGGGCCCAAAGGGTTTCGAGGGTGAAGGAAAGGGGTCTTGAGGCTCTCCGCCACCAGGCTCGGGCCCTTCCCTGGCCTCGAGACCGTCAGGAAACGTCTCAGGATTGTGACCGCCAGCTCAGGCCCTGAGATGGTGGTCACAATCCTGGGACGTCGTGGTCGACGACGACGTCGTCTTGGAGAGCTCCAGGGTTTCCAGGGCCCCCTCCCCTCGTGAGCTCTGCTTCTGGCTCCTCGCAGGCTCTGGCCCTCTCCACCCTCCAGAGGGGGCTTGGCGCCGACGACCTCGTCGACGACGACGGAGACCTGTGGGACCTCCAGGAGCTGGCATATTGCTTCCCAAGACTAAGACGCCAACGACGACAACGACGGCGATGGCCCCGAGACCCTTTCTGACGCAGGAGGCCCAGAGAGGCCCCACACCGCCCAGCTAACCTCTTGCGCGGACGACACTCGGCAACGACGTCGACGACGACGACGACGATGACCGCCTCCCGCCAGACCCCTCCTGCCGCAGTTAGCTATGGCTTGGATTTCCAGGGGGCAAAAGCTGTGCCCACGACGGTAACCCTGGAGGCCCAGGAAGGTCATAAGGACACGGCTCAAAAAATCCGTCTTCGACGACGACGGCGACGATGACGTCGGCGACCACGACGACGACAACGATGACGACGACCATGATGTCGACGACGCCGACGACGACAACGACGACGGCAGCGGCGACGACGACAACGAAGAACACGACGAACACAACGAACACGTCGACGACGGCGACAACGACGACGGCAGCGGCGACGACGACAACGACGACGACGACGACGACGGCGACGGCGACGACGACGACGACAACGACGGCGACGACGACGGCGACGGCGACGGCGACGACGCCGATGAGGACGGCGACCACGGCGCTGTGCTTGCCATCTTCCGCGGTCAGGTTTTGACATGGTTTCATAGGTTCTCGATGGATTTCGGGCGCTCTGCAACAGCCGCACCTCGCCGAGAGTGTGCCAGGGGTGCCCAAGTCGTCCCGACCATTCCCGACTGGACGTCGGAAAGCCGAGCTAGGAACCGAAAGCCAGAGGGCAACGTTCGCAGTGGATAGGCTCTGGGGGGATGCATCGACCCCCGATCGCCCATCGCTCGCCGACAGGGGGCTGCTAGCCCACCCCGCCCAGGAACGTGCGGTCTTGCTGTCACGCTCCAGACGCGCAATCCATGGGCGACGCGTGGCCCGCTCGAGCTCGATGCTTCCGCCCCGTGCGCCACCGTTGCCCTTCGGCCCCGCCTGCGCGAGTCTTCCTGGACCGGCGCGCGGCGCCGAGGAGGGACATCTGCGGCGCGCCGTGCACGGCGAGGGTGCCCCCGGCGATTACGCGCGGCTCGGCCAGGCTCGGCCGCGCCTCGGCGCCTCGGCACCCCAGAGCCTCTCGGCATGGTGACGGCAGCGGCGGCGAGCACGGAAGAAGCAGGGGAGGCCTCGCGGCCCCGCTCCGCGGCCCGCGCCGCCGCCGACCCCGCCAGCGCCCGCGCCGTCGAGGCGTCCGCGGAGGGGCTCCGAGCGGGGACTGCCGTGGAGTACTTCAGCAGCAAGGCCCGCCGTCGCGCCCCGTCCGGCCGCAGTTCTGGCGACGGCGGTCGAAGAAGAGCCACCTGCACGGACATCGGAGTGAGGGGGCCGAGCGGTCACCCGCCGTCTTTTGGGAGCGTGGCTGAAGTGGGAGTCCGCGGTGCGGACGGTTGTTGCGTTGTTGTTTGTTGCTGTGGAGCTCTCATTTCTAAAGAATGGTGATTGGTGGTCTTGGAGTCATCTTAATCAGTGCCCCCCCCCCCCCCCGAGAGGCCAACATGTGGCGAAAACCGGAGTAAAATCAATGATTTGGCATTCTCACCGTGGCCTCTTGGAGCATCTTGGGTGCCTCTGGGGGGTCTCTTGAGCTCTTGAGGCCTCTTGGGGGTCTCTTGGGAGCCTCTTGGGGGCATCCTGGGGGCCTCTTGGGGCTTTCTTTGGGTCATCTTGGGCGAGATCGATCACAGGAGAGGGGGGTACTAATTACAGCCCCCCCCAGGAGGCCAAAATGGGGCCAAAATCTTAGTAAACCAATGATTTTGGCTTCCTCGCCGAGGCCGTTTTGGACGCTCCGACGACTCGCGACACCCCCTGTCCAGGTCCATGGGGAGGGGGCAGGGGGAGGGGTAAACCCCTCCCTGAAGGGCAAGAAGGATAGGTGGAAGAGGAAACGCTCTAACCCACCGACGCCCAGAGGGCTGGTGGGATTTATGCAGGAATTGCGCTCTCGCGTGGGACTTCCTCACAACTTATTCAGACACCGCGCCCCCCCGACACTCAGGAGTAACGCTCTCGCTGTGGATTTACTCACGATTGATTTGGGAATCGAGCTGTCGCTCGAGACTTCCTCGCGATTCATGCAGGACGCACGCTTCAGCAACCCGCCTGCTCGACCTGGCCGTCTGGGCCCTCCTTCCCGACCCGTCTGTTAGGGTCTACCCGCCCGATCTGCCCGTCCAGTTCTGCCACGTGGTTTCTGCTCCGAGCCCCCCTATCTTGGTTGTCTCTCTCGTGCTCCATCCACCTCCCTCCCCCTTGTCTCTTCCTTCCATCCGTCCTCTCTTTCCCCGCCTTAGAGTGTGCACGAAATACACGTGGCAGGTAAGAAACATATATGTGTGTATATATATATATACACACACACCCCTGATTGGGGCACGATCGAAGACGAAGAGGGCGGGTATTGAGGGTTTGGGATATACGTGTTGACTGGCCCGCGAGCAGATATGAGAGAACAGTAGTATAATGATTGTTGTTGTTGTTGTTGTTGTTGTTGTTGTTGTTGTTGCTTTTGCTGTTTCCGCGGCTGTTGTGGTTGGTGGGTGTTGTAATTCAGGAGCGGCGCTCTCGCCCCAGACTTTCTCGCGATTCAGTCAAGTCGGTGAAGGCCCAACTACGACGACAAGGGCTCTCGGTCGATACTCAAGATGCATTCGCAAAGGCCCTTGCCAGAGAGGCCCCCGCACTCAAGAGTGGCGCTCTCGCTCGAGACTTTCTCCCAATTCAGGCAAGTTGGTGGAGGCCCAGGCACGGCGACAAGGGTTCCCGTTCGATATTTGTTCATAGTATTCCGAGAGTCAGGCCTTCAGAGTTCCTTGCACTTCAGTCAGGGGCCGACAAAGAAGAGATTCCCCCCGAAAGGGAGTGCAATCGAAGACGAAGTGGGCGGGTATCGAGGGTTGGGGCATACAACATGCAAGACACGCGTGCCAGTAAGAACGAACAGGTTGTTGTTGGTTTTGTTGTTGTTGTTGGTGGTGATGTTGTTCCTGTTGTTGTTGTGGTTGTTGTGGTTGTTGTTGTTGTTGTTGTTGTTGTTGTTGTTGCTGCTGTTGTTGTTGTTGTTGTTGAACGTTCACTTAATTGTTGATCCCCCCCGTCCGGTGACACATGTGTTTTTCAATTAAAGTGCCTTTCCTGGGGCCCGCACCCTGATTCATTAGGGGAAGTTTTCCTGCTCAAACTGCGCCCTTGGCCCCCGAACTACAAAAACAACGGTTCCCTCCTGATACTTCCTCAATTTATTCCCGAATCGCGCTCTCGCGTAGAACTTCCTCACACTGTATGCAGAAATCGCGCTCTCGCGCGGGGCTTCCTCGCAATTTGTTCAGACGCCGCGCCTGGACATTCAGGAGCCACGCTCTCGTTGTAGATTCTCTTGCGATTGATGTTGGAATCGAGCTGTCGCTCGAGACTTCCTCGCGATTCATGCAGGACGCACGCTTCAGCAACCCGCCTGCTCGACCTGGCCGTCTGGGCCCTCCTTCCCGACCCGTCTGTTAGGGTCTACCCGCCCGATCTGCCCGTCCAGTTCTGCCACGTGGTCTCTGCTCCGAGCCCCCCTATCGTGGTTGTCTCTCTCGTGCTCCATCCTCCTCCCTCCCCCTTGTCTCTTCCTTCCATCCGTCCTCCCTTCACTTGCCTTAGGGGCTGGACGGCACACACATTGCAGGTAATATAGATATCCGTAAGGGTGCTTCGCCCCCTGCCGCCGGCCCCCTCTTTCGGATAATGGGCAATGCAAGAGCGAAGTTATGAGGACTTGGCGCCGCCGTGAAGCAGCGTCTCGGATACGCGAATATTGTGTGATCTACACAAGTTTATGGCTTCGGAGACGCGAGCATTGCTTAATTTAGTAAGGTTTATGGCTTCGGGCACGCGATGATGGTTTAATTTGCGAGGGTGTACAGCTTCGGGGTCGCAAATGTTGCATCATACACACAGGTGTAAGGTTTCGGAGACGCAGATTCTATGTAATTCGTAATGGTTGATGGCTTCGGATACGCGAACCTATTGTAATTTACACGGGTTTATGGCTTCGGGGACGCGGAAATTAAGTATTCTGCAATGGCTTATTGCATCGGGAACGCAAATATTAAGTAATGTACGAGGGCGCGAGGGCTGATGGCTTCGGAAATGTGAATATAGAGTATGTTATTATTGTGTATGGCTTCGGAGACGCGAGTATAGTGTATTTTGCTATGGTTTTTGGCGGCGCGGGGCGTCCCCGCGGGCGAAACGGTGAGGTCCCTTCCGGTCAGGTCGATTCAGCAAAAAGCCTCGCATCGAAGCAGGCAAAGCAGCATACACACTGTTCACTTTTATTTATTCGAAAGGGCTTTGCCTTTCTGGGGGGCCAGGATCATTTCATTTCTGATTGTTCTATCCTGGGCCTTGTCCTGGCCTCTAGGGGGCCAGGAACAATTAGAAACGAGCAAAATCAAAAATGAGCACGATTAGACATGAACGACGTGTAAGCATAAATTGTTGGCGGTCCGCGCCGACTGCACGGATCGGCGCTGGGCCTACTGGCCCCGCCCCACGCGCGCTCCGCGCGCCAGGCAGGGGGGGGGCCCAGCGCAGATCAAAGGAGTCTGCGCGGATCTCCGAAAGTTTATGTTTATGCAGTTGAGAAAAAGCTGACACCCCTGCTGGCCACCGCATTACGTCTGTGACTGAAGACTGCTCGCTTCGTCGCAGCAGTGCCGCAGAGGACTGCCACTGCAGCGCAGCGTTGCCGCATGGCGGTCAAGGGATCCCCATGCTGCTGCTGCGCCTTCGAAGAAAAAGGAAAAAAGAAACGGCCTCGAGCAGCAAAAGTGGATTGGCGCGCTGGTGGAGTCCGTCCGCGAAGACCCCTCGGGTGCCGGGCCGCTGTACGACGTCCTGACTAGGGGGAGCAGCGGCACACAGCAGGCCAAGCTGCTCTTCCAGGAGGAGGATGAGGAGTACCCAGATCTATGGACATTGAAGCATTGCGCAGGAGATCGTTCCTAGTTTCTAGCATCCAGGGATAGTCTACTGAACTTGGAGCCAGCCATCATCTACACACCGAGCATAAGTGAGCGAGTGAGCGGTCCTGAGGAAAAGGCGACAGCAGAAGCAAGGATCGCCGTATGCGCCTCCCTGCTGCCGATTCCCAGAAGGCGTAGCCACCGATCCTGGGCCCATGGCCAGGATCCGCGCGGCGGTGGCGTGCTATTGGGTCCTTTGGGGTCAAGTTGGGGGCCTCATTGGCCCTTGCTACGGTCGAGAGCGTTTGCTTAGCATGTCGCGCCGCCAGTTCTGGTCCATCACGTTTCGGCGCGACACGCTAACCACTTCCCAGTCTCCAAGCGTTAACGTCCCCAGCCGCTCCCAGCCTCCCGCCCCGCGGAGAGGAGCAGCAAGCTATCCTTTGCAGCGATTCGCGTGTCGCCTGAGCCGCCGCCTTAGCACGCGAAGCAGCACGTCCCGTCCGGTGGAGCCTCTTAGGTCGGCGTTGTGCGCCTCATTGCTGGGCCGTCCGGGACGCTCTCCGGACAGGCTTGCAAAAACCGTTGAAGAAGATAATTAATAAGCATAGCGATGATGAGAGGAAGATGCAGAAGAAGAAGAAGGAAGAAGAAAGCACCGTGTGTCCAGCAGGCACATGCGCAATCAGGGCATGGCAGCGGGCGGCGGGTGCTCGGCTTCACCTCGCACGCCACGGGCCTTGCCATCCACGCATAATACCATCGACAAAACGGACTGCGTGAGAACCCTGCGCTTCTCGCCTCGACCACTCGGGCCTCTTAGGCTGGCGCCCCCGGCCTCCAAGGCGGCCCGGGGAACTCCCCTGCACGGCCCCCCGGATGGGCCCTTGCTTGGATCGCCGCGGGGATTGATAAGAGGAGGGCAGAGAGATACAAGTGCACGCTAAGGTGGGTTCTATCCAGCCCAACCCAGCTTATACTAGGGGGCTACAGGTGGACGTTGAGGTGGGTTCTATCCAGCCTAACCCAGCTTGTAAAGTGGGTGAGGCCAGCTAAAACCCACTTTAGCATCCACTTCTAACCTCCCATCCCCTTAGCAGCCCCCGCTGCGATCCAAGCGGAGCCCTCCTCGGGGCCTCTCGGGAGGGGCCGCGCGGCGCACCCCGAGGAGCGCCGCGAGACGCCCCCCGGAAGTCGGGCCTCTCCTCTTGGGGGAACTGTTTGCCGGCGGCGGCCAGGGGGGGGAGGGATGACTATTGGGGGGGGGGGGGAGGGTGCAGGGCAAAATCAAGGGAGGAAAAAGCACCCCGACCCCTAATGGTTAGCGTTTACTAGCGCCCTGGGTGTTTACTAAACAGTCCTGCCCTGTTCGATTCCTTCCTTGGGTGCGTTTACTGAACGGCTTCGCTTGTCGGGGTGCTTATTACGGGGGTGGACTTTCTGCCCTCTACGAAAGGCAGGGCTTGGCCCCGAGGCCCAGAGGTGGCGCTGTGGCCAGGCTGCACAGGGCATGGGTTCGGCCCTCAGGGACAACGTTCGAGGGGGAGATCAGGGGGGGAACGGGTACCCATACCGCTACCCTTCCCTCGTTTTCGCCTTCTTGCGCCTCCTGGGAGGCCCTCGTCGCCACGGCTGGATTCCCTTCAGAAATCTGGTCAGAACGCACCTTGGGAGAGGTCCAGGGAGCAGCGGTACCTTTATCATGTTGTCTCCCCAGGATAGGCGCATCGACCTGTGGGCGATATATCGCCGATTCCAGGTCGATGCTTCCGCACCGCGAGCCAGGCGCCCCCCGCCCTCCCCACCTTACCATTGCCCCTCATCTCTGGGCCTCCCAGGTGAGGTCGCAGTGGATGGGGCCGGAGGATCACACCGCATCGCCGATGCATCGGCGATGTATCAGCGATGCGGCTCGATGTGCGGCCCAATGCTCTCCACGCCGACGTCGCCGATGCATCGCCGACGTCGCCAGTGCATGGCCGATGCATGGCCGATGCATCGGCGATGCATCGCCGACGTATCGGCGATGCGGCGAGACCCTCCGACCCCACCCACCCGGACCCCATCCAGGACGCCCCCGCGCGGCTCCTCGAGCTCGAGCGCCCTCCCGGGGGGCGCAAAGGGGGGGCGGGGCGTGCTTTGGGCCAGGGGGGCCGCAGGGAAACCGTCCGCAGGACGGGGCCGACCTCGTCTGGTCGTGGGCGGGCGACCGAGCCGGTCCCTCCCGCAGCCCTTGGCGGCAATGTTCCAATGTGCGTTGGGTGCCTCCCTGCACGTTGTTCACTTCTAATTCTTCGGAAGTTGGTTGGTTGGGGGGGGGGGGGGGCAATATCCTTTCATTACTAATTGTTCTATCCTGGGCCTCTTCCTGGCCACTAGGGGGCCAGGAACACATAGAAGGGAGCAGAACTAGAAATGAGCACGATTAGAAATGAACGACGTGTACCTTAGGGGCGGAGTGGTCATGACGAAGACTGAAAGCTGCGCAAGCAGAACGTCTCGGAGTTCCGTACGGATTTCTCGGATCGGCGTTGGACCCCTTTGGCGACTCCTCTGGCGCCGCCCCTGGCGCGCTCCGAGCGCCAGGGAGGGGGTCCAGCGCCGATCAAAGAAGTACGAGCGGGCCTTCGGGAAATTATGTCTATGCAGCTGTTTGTTCCTTTATTCCTGTTCACAGGGCGGGCGGATCCCAATATATTTTACGCGTTTTCCTTCCTCATGCCTATACCCATGTCTTTCCAGACGATGGATATGTTGAGCTTGGATCCTCTGACTCCGTGCGCATTCGCGGGCATCCAGATCCTCTTTCTGCTCTGCCTGTTCCTTTTGGCCCTGCTCCTCCGCCTCGCCACTGTCGCCACAGGGCCCCATCCCCGTCGCCAAACGAAACCAGCATGCAGCGATGAGCTACACTTGCCTTGCCCATGCGCGACCCTTGGTAGCAGAGCCTGCTCATGTTCATCTGAGCAGCTTGCGAATGACCAAGCCTCCTTGGGCGTAGGTACTTGCACAGGGAACGTGCTGTTGTTTCGAGCATGCATGTACCAACGAGAGTTCGCCTTCCTGAACAAAAGTCCACAACTCGGTATCCCTAAAGGACCCGTAACCGATATGATTCATGTGTTGCTGCTGATTTGATCATGTCGCAGGCACATTTGCACCACTGGCTCTTCAGAAAACATGCAGCACGTCCGTAATCGTGTCCCCCATCAAGGCAAGGCCCTTTCGGTCGAAAGCGGCTTAGCAGAAGCAAGGCCCGGAAGTGGGCTGAGAGAGATGAATTCACGTGGGGCGTTGGAAATTTGCATGCGTAGTTGAACTCAGAATTCTTGCTCGTATCCTTCAGCCTGCGCACGCCATTCCCTTCGGTCTCGAAGAGTGACAAACCATGGTTCTCCGAATGGTAACCGTGTGCCCCACATCTGTACATTCAGGCGCGAGGTGTGAAACCTTCGCAGCTACGTCCTCTCGCTGGACAGCGCAAAAGGCCAGCTGCGCCGGATGCCACAAAGGGCAGGGCTGGCCGTGCGGCGAGAAGTGACGGTGCGGACAAGCTCCAGGAATCGAAGAATGTTGGCCATCAGATATCGTCTGGTGATAATGTCTTGTACTTCAGCAGCACCGAGAAAAAGTGGGTCAAGGCACCAGTGCGTATCTTCCTTTTCTGCTCGGTCATTGCAAGCATGAGTCTGGTGTAGCTGTATGTGGACTGGGGAACAGTTCAAAGTGCACATGGGTCAAGTAAGGCCAGTAAGCGGTGTTATACTTGCGAGACGAGAACCATGTTATGTACAGGTTGCCTGGTTCGGCCCATCATACTCACGTGCCAACGCGTATCACAACCAGGTATGGAGATGTAGGCTTGCCGTGTATACCATTGCTTTGAATGCCGCAGTTGTCTCGGTGGCCTGGTTTCTTCTTTCTGGTCCTCATCCTCCTTCCTCGGCTTAGGTTGTATGTCTCTTAGTTCGGTATGGTGCATCCTTCTCGCACAGTTGAACTGTGGCATTTGGCTTGAAACGGGGGGCTCTGCGCAGCGGGATCGATGCACGCGTAATCGCGTGCGCTCGTAGAGCGAGCATCGTTCATGCCAAAATGCGCTTCCCACGCTTTTCAAGCTGAGTTGTGGGACAGTTGTAAGGTTGTCGTGCTCGTGCTCCTCGTTCTCCTCCCCCTCGTCTTCAAGAACGTGAACAATGATGGAGACCGTACGCCGATCACGAATCACGAGCACGCACGGTTGTAACATGTTTCGTGAATATTCGCATGCGCGTCTTCGTGCGTGTATTGTCCAGACGCGCGCGGTTGCATGCGAGCACGTTCAGATCAAAGACCGCGTGCGCGACATTTGTGCGTGCGTTGGTCCTGACGCAAAAAGCATCGCTTGCAAATTCAGCCGGACGCGTGTGCGTCAGTGCATGGTAACCGTTTCCGTGTGCGCAGTATATCACATGTAGCGTAGTAGCGACATTGCAGCCACACACACGGACATGCCACCCGTGCGGATGACAATGCTCACAAGCAAAACGCGTGTCCCGTTGCGTGATGTACATGTAAGTTACGCATCGGTGATTATTTGATCTCATGTACCTCGAGAGCGCTTCATTCGGCAACTAGGGGCGCGGTGAAGATCAGAGACACTTACTGCATTGTCGCATGGCTTTGTTGGGACCAGGACCAGTTGACATCAGTGCGGGTTTGCGATTGGTCTGCGTTCTTGAGTTGCTTGAAGTTCTGATTGAAGCCAAACGTGTGAGCGAATGCAACTTGCCTCGCATTGCTCGAGGCAAAAGTTCATGCAGTCAATAAAGGACCCGATGGAAAGACCATCTCGTACGATTTGGATGCGAAGTCTCAGGCAGCGGTTGGAAGAGTAAGACCGGCTGGCAAAGCGGAGGGGCGGGCGTCACACGTTCGCTGCAGGCATGAGCATTCGCAAGCCAGTTCACCTTCGCAGTGGCGTCAGCGGAATAGCGCACGAAATACAGGGCTTGTCAGCGAGGTCATCGATACGCGGCATCTTCGTGTCGACGCATGCAAGCACGCTCAAGCATTACAGTCTGACACCGGTTCGAGTGAGTGTTTGCTGTATCACGCCGACACAGAACTAAACGAAGTTGCATGTTGCGGCCTTGAGTGGCTGAATCGAACAAGTGCGCGCACAGGCACATTACACTTACAGATTTATACATACCTGTGCGCATGCACGCTTTCAGGGATGCACGTTTCTCATATATGTTTTCATGTGCGTGCATGCATGCACTCATGGAGAGGGTTTGCGGGTACACGTGACATCGGCTGGTTCGGGAAGTTTCGTTCCGTGGTAGTGGTAAGTTTGACAGTTGCATGAATGTGAAGTTGCGCCGCAGTGTCGATTAATGTTCGCATGTGTAGTCTGGAATGCCAATGGTTGCCAATAGTGAAGGCCTGCTGCCTTTCCTGTGTCTTCCGCAGACTTGTGGCGTATAGTGATTGCGGTTGGAGTTTAAGAGTGAGCGTGGACGTCACCGCAAACATTGAGTAGTACGTTCGGTGGCTTAACGGTACCGGTTGGTACAGCATTGCTAGATTAAATTGGTTTGCAATTGAAGCCAGATGCAACCGGCGCGTACTACGCGCAGGTATTCGTTGTTGCTGTCCATTTGGCGGTACGCAGAGGGACGAGTTCGGGAAATCGTTTCGATACGTGATTGGTTTGGGTTTTCAAATATATTTGCTTGGTTTGAAGAGCGTTCGAACTGTATGACGATTTGGATCACAGAACAAATTGTGAATTGCGAGGGTGTCCCTTGAAGTCATCAGCCAAATTGTAATTCAGTTTGTTCATGTACCTGTTAGGGGCAGGACGGTCCGCTCGGGTACCACAGCATTTTTTACGTTTATGCAAACCTGGGAGGAGTGGAGAGATAGGTAGCTGAGGAAAAGAAGGGGTCGGCGAGAGAGAAGGAGGATGAAGTCGGAAGAGGGTTGTGTTCAATTGCCGTTCTGCAAACCACTATCGCCATACATAAGTTCATCCTTGTGAACAGCCTGGTACGTTCGAATGCTGGGGTTGGACTACCGCAGCGTTAAAAATACCGTCATTGTTTTGATCTCGGCGTATGTGTATACCAGTGTTTGCAGCGTCTGCGTTGACATACAAAGTGTTGTGTGAGAAGTCGGGGAAGGATCACCCTACTGACGCAGCGGCTGAGAAAGTTGCAGAGAACAGGACCCGACAGTCAAGCCACGCCGCCTTGTTGCACATGCACGTTCGCACTTAAACTCTCGCTAGTTGTGCGCCGTCGGTCAAAGAAGAAAGCACTGGATACAGATAAACTGCCCGAGCCCCGCTCGGATTTCTTGGATCGGCGCTAGACCCCATTCTCTGGCTTGCGGAGCGCGCCAGCGGCGGCGCCAGAGGCGCCGCCAGGGGGGTCCAGCGCCGATTCAACAAGTTCGCGCGGAGCTCCGAAAGTTCATGCGCATGCAAGTTGGATTCCTCTAGTCGCCCACCATCCCACGTGTCCCATGTGTATCATGAGTGAGTCCGATAAGTATTCCTATCTCAGCCACGGCAACATATAATGTTGCAGCGAACATTGTGACATGCTCGACTGCAGCATCGTATATCTCGCTATGTAGCTGGTGGCGACATCGCCCATCGTCACAGGGCAGAGCAGCAGAAGAGCGCAACGTAGCTCTTGGGAGCGGGCTGGTGGGAGCCTGGCGCAGCTTGACTGTCAGCACTTCCGCGGGGAGGGTGGAGTCCAGCCGTATCTTGGACATGCACAGGGTGAATTGCAAGATGTGCCGCTGTCATCGTCCTCCCCCTCACCGCACACCGCATCCCCTCCTTCGCCCGTCTCCCCTGGCCCCACAATCGCTCGTCCGCCCTGCCTCTGCACCCCTGAAGGCCCGGGGGCTGCATGTGCTCCCCTGGCCAAGCCCGGAGGGCGTTTGCACGGACCTTGGGCCCATGATGGGCTTGGCCAGGGTCGGCGTGGTATGTTTGGTGGCGAACCAGAGGCTCCTGGAGGCCTGCTGTTGGGGACGCTCTCGGGACGCATATGGTGGAGGGCTTCCTCGGGCCTCTGGACGGCCTCTCGAGGGGGGGGGGGGTTCTGCTGAGGGTCTCGTGACCATTTTTGGGGAGGAAAGTTCTGGAGGTCCCTTCAGGATCTCTTCTGCGCCCCTCCAGTAACAGTCTTGAAGGCCTCTCGGGCGCCTCGGCTCCCATTTGGGCACGATGTTGAAGGGCTCCTGGTCAGTCTTGGGCGCTTTTAGGGAAGCATAAGCCACACTGCGAAATCGTACCGCAAAAAACCTTCAGCAGCAGGTCCCCCCCAAGATGGAGCATGTCCCCCCCAAGGTGGCCCCTAACATCTTCAGCAGGTCCGCATGCGTAAGGCCGTCCAGCGGCAAAGAAAATACCCTCCACCACAGGCCCCCAAGAGGGTCGCCCACCAGAGAGCCCCAAGAAGCCGCCAAAGACGCCAAGAGGCCCCAATAGAACCTGGGGCGACTCCAATAGAGTCTCAAGACGGGCCCTTGGGGCCACCTTTGCACACGTGGGGAGTGTAGTTGGCCGATCCCGTCCGGGAGGGACGACAACAAACAGCAATAAACAAACAACAAACAACGCAACAACCACCCGCACCGCGGAGCCTCACTTCAGCCACGCGCCCAGGGACGGTGCATGACCGTGCGCCCCCCTCATTGTGATATATAAGTGATATGTATGTGTGTATATATATACACACACGTGTACATTTATGTGTATTATCTCGGTAGCTATATTTATATGTGTCCTCGCTCTATAGTCAGATAATTTGCATGTGTGACGTGTATGTGTATATACGGTTGTAGATTGTGGCGCTCGGCCCATCCCGCCACCGCGCTTGGGTTGCAGGTCAGATGCCCCTTGGATGATTATGAGGATCTCGTGGGAGGCTTCTCGGGTGCATATTTGAGTCGATGTTGGGATGCCCGAGCGGCCTCTTGAGGCCAATTTTGGGGGCCTCCAGGGGTGTCGTGGGGGGCATCTTTCGTGCCTGTTGGCGGTCTCGGGGGTCATCTACTGGCGGATGTCTACAAGTGTCAGTTCGAGTTCCCCCTCTTGGGGCCATCTTGGGCCGTCTACAGGCGGCCTCTTGGGTCCTGGGCCGTCTTAGGGCAATCTCGGGGGCCTCTTGGGACATCTTGGAGAGTCGTACGCCCGAAAAGGCGAGAACTTTGAAATATCTCCGAAACCTGAGGGAAATCAACAATATGTACCTGTTGGGGCCCTCTGGGGGGGCCTCTTGGAGCCCTCTTGGGTCGTCTTCGGTGCATTTTGGGATGTCTTGAGACCATCTTAGGTGTCTCGGAGCACCCTGGCTGGGGCCGTCTCAAGGCCCTGTTGGACCATCTTGGGGGCCTCTTGGGGCCCTCTTGGTCCGCATTCGGGCCCACTGGTCTCAGGAAAAGATCACGCGGCACGCCCCGGCAGCGCCCGTGAGCGCCCAGAACTCGGGGCTGTGGATTTCTCACAAAAAATTCCAATATTCAGGACAGAGGGCTAAGGTGCCTTAGGGCACGGTGGCGGACATTTGCGTATATACCAGCATCTGCATATACCATCTGGTATATTTGATGAAGCGTGTCATATGTGACCAATTCCCAAGAAAAGAGCCGAACAGGACCAAGAAGAGGACCGCCAACGGCAGCCTGAAGAACCCTGCACACGGAGGCGGCGTCTCTCTTCGAACCCCCGTAATGCTTTACGTTAGCGTGCCAAGGTGTCGTTGTCGTAGTCTCTTGTCGACACGCAGCCGTGTTTCTTATAATCGAACGGCAGCTCTGCCGTTGGAGAGCGGGTGGGAGCCTCGACTCCAGTTGGTCAGCTTTGTTCACGATGTTGTCGTCAGTGAGACGGCAGAGCGGGAGTCTTCAGGGGGGCCGCCGCGTTCAGCCGCTTCGCGCGCGCCGCCGGCCCATATCTTGCTGCCGCTGCCATATGGTTGTTCGTCGATTGACATTGGGAAGTTGTTGGGTGGTGGGGGGGAAGCGGTCGCTGGGTAGATCGAAGGCAGCACTCAACGGAACACGCACCCATACAAGTTTCACCTCGAATCACGGAGCACGCAGAGATGTTTGTGGTGTGTTGAATTCTTGTTGGGGCATTCCGCCAGACTCTGGGGGCTTCTCGGAGCCCTCGTGGTGGCATTTGGGAGGCTGTCTAGGACAATCTACTGGGACCTCCTTGTGGTTGTCTTAGGGTCTCTTGGGTATGTACTGGGGCCATCTTGAGGGCCTGCCAGCAATTTGCGGGCCGCTCTTGGGCCCATCTTGGAGCACTCCTCGGGTGCTCCTGGGGCGCTCTTTTTGATTTTCGGAGACGCTCCTGGAACTCTTCTGGGCTCTACTCGGAGTTATCTTAGGCGATAAGGGGAGCCACATTGAGGCCTCAAACGCTTATCGGAAACGAAGAGGTGATAAAGCCAACATCACTCCAACCCCTCATTGGCTTGAAGGATGGATTTGGTATCTTATAGGTTGTTTGCTGGTTGTCTTGGACCATCGTGGGCCGTCTCAGGGTGGTGGTGGGGTTTCTTGTGACGGTGCTGTTGCCATTATCGGCTCTGCCACGTTTTGATCCACGTTCTTAGGTCGTTATTGGGCGTCTCTTGGGACCGTATGTTTGTTCTCGTTGGGCGACCTTGGCATGCTGTTCGAGGTCGTCCGAGCCCGCTCGGAGATCATTTGGGCTCCACCTGGAGCTATCTTGGGTTCTGGTGGAGCCACATTGAAGCGTCATATGGCCAGCAGATGCGAAGAGGCGATACAAACAACATCATTCCAGAGTCCTACATGCTTGCATGTATTGAGCCTCTTGGGGGCCTCTCGGGGAGCGTCCGTGACCACCTTGGGCTATACATTTCTTGGGCCCTCTAGGGTCCGCATTGGAGCCGTCTAGGGACGCCCCTGGGGCGCTCCTGGGGTCATCGGAGCCCTCTTGGAGCCCTTCCTGACTCCACTTAGAGCTACGTTGGGCGATTTGGGAACCATCCTAAAGGCTAGGAAGGCTATCGGAAGCAAACATGCAAGAGCAGGCGTCTTGGAATGGTTTTGGCTTCCATGGGGTGATCTTTGAGAGGCTACATGGCCACCTGGAGCCTGTTGGAGGTCACCTGGCGGTCTGGAGAGCCCCGGCGTCTGTGTTGGGCATCTTGGAGTTGATTGTCGAAGGCGATTTGTCTCCCCCAACCCCCGACCTTTCGACGATAACAGAAGCCGCTCAGAAAAGGAGGGCAATCCTGGCATACACCCCAAGGGGGCTATTCGGACGCATCCCTATCGAGGATGGACGCCCCTCATCGTATATCCCAGGGTTTGGCTCAAAATTGTTGGCTCATTCGAAAACCTTATAATTCCTGGGATAAGGGGTCGACATATCCCCTGTTAGATTTGGGGCCCGATCCTAGGACCTCCACAGGCTGCCACACGCGCGCGAATCACGTAGTAAGAGTGAAGGCTGAGAGCCGATTCTTCGCCTGCTTGGCGAGCGGGTTTCGGCAACGGGCATGGTCCAGCTCGCAAGGCGGGCAATGGTGAGTGTATCGCCAGGGTTGTTTGTTGCGTATGTGTCGTTTGGGGCGCCGACAGCGCGCGCAGTGGTCCCAGGAGTCGGACCCTGGGACGCATGAAGTTGTCTTCCTCGGACGACGTGTGAGCGATGCTACACTGGCTTGCACACGGCGATGCTGCGTTGCATCGCGCTAGCACATTGCTACAGGCCTCTGCATTGTCATAGCGCCGTCTCAGTTCTTCTGTCATCATGGGCGCCGTCTGAATGTTGAGAGATCGGTTGATGAGGGCAAGGTCATGTGATGAGGTGCACATCAGCATGCAGCAACCTCACATGATGTTTCACACAATGTGCGATGATTGGGTTTCCAGCAATGAGGTTGGCTGCTGGGGGGGAACTCAAATCCTTTATATAGTTTCGTGTGTTCGGCACTGTCTCGCATGTAGTCGCATTGGCGTCAGTTGGAGATCCAGTTCAAGTAACTCCGGTGACTCATTTCGGGGTTACCACTTTTCGACACCCTCCCCGCCTTTTCGTCAGTAAGAAGCTGCAAACATATTACTGCGAGGCAGGAGCCCAACGGATATCGCATCTGCGAATCGTGTCTGGGTAATTGGAATATCAGGTCATACCTAGGTCTCCTGTACCCGCCAGCGAAGTCTATGAACCAATCCTCTTTTCGGGGGCTTCTTTTCAGGCCCTCTCCTGGGAGAAGCATTCAGCAATCTACTCTGTATACGCATCGCGCCGCCATGGGCGTGATGCGGGCTAACGCGCCCGTGGGCAACGCACGAACTTGATTGAATTGCGAGAAAGTCTCGGGCGAGATCGCAGTTGCTCGGTTTCGGGGCCTTTCTGGCCAGGGCATCTCAAAGTAAAGCGTGAGGAAGTATCGGGCGGGTGCCGTTTACGTCGCAGGGAGGCCGTTACGCACTTGGCTGGAGTGCGGGCAGGTGTTGGACCAGAGCGCCGTGCCTGAGTTTGAGTGCCTCTCTGGCCAGAGCGTCTCCGAGGAGTAAATCGTAAGGACGTATCGAGCGGGAGCCGTTGTCGTCGCATCTGGACCGTTACCAACTTGATCGACTCTCGAAGAAAGCTCACGCGAGAGCGCCGTTTCTCAGTTTGAGGAGATCTGGCCAGGGCGTAAGAAAGGATCGAACGGGAGCCGTAGTCGTCGCAGTTGGGCCGCCACATCGACCAAGGTGCAAGGACGCCTCGGACGGGAGCCTCCGTTCCAAACTTCCGGCACCTCTCTGGCCAGGGCGTCTCAGAATAAATTAGGAGGACGTGTCGAGCGGGAGTTGGTGTCGTCTTAGTTGGGCTACAACATGTGGAATGGCTCGGAGTCACGCGGGAGATCGAGCTTCACTAGTCGTAGTCGCAGTTTGGAATCAAGCCCGCTCACGAGCGGGAACCTCGTTTGAAGAAACAAATGTCGCCGGCGTCCAGGCGAGAGCGCCGGGAACCGTTTCCAAAGATCAAGAAATTTCATTCTTTCGAAACGAGTGCTCAACGACGATCCGCACCGCGGACATTCACTACAGCCGCGCACCCAGGGACTGTAAGACCGTTCGACCCCTTTCACTCCGATGGTGCTCAGTAGCCAGGCATGGGGGTTTCCGAGAGCACTTGGATCCGTCTTATGGCCTTCGTGGGGCTTCTTGTCGACATGTTGTTAGCTATTTTGAGCCATGTTGGGCTATCTTGAGCGATCTTGGAGGCCATCTAGGGCTCCCTGAGGCCCTCTTGGAGCCATCTTGGGCCATCTTGGACGCTCGAACTCCTTGCCAAACGCCCCGTCCAGATCCAGGGGAGGGGGTAGGGGAAGGGGCAAGACTCCCTCCCCGCCCGCAAGCCGTCTCGCTCACTCCCACCCGTTTTCCCAACACCTACGTAGTATCCGAACTTGGTTCGAGTCGCAGCATGTTTAGTAGTTGTCTTTGGGTGGGCAGCTACTGGGGGCGAATCCGCCGCCGCCGCCTCCGCCGCCGCCCGCCGCCGCCCGCCGCCGCCGCCGCCGCGCCGCCGCCGCCGCCGCCGCTGTCCGCCGCCGCCGCCGCGCCGCCGCCGACGCCGTCCGCCACCGCCGCCGCCGCGCCGCGCGCCGCCTTTGCCGCCGTCGCCCCCGCTGCCGAATCGCCGCCGTCGCCCCCGCTGCCGAATCGCCGCCGCCGCAGCCGCTGCCGCCACCGCTGCCGCCGCCGGCACCGCCGCCACCGCCGCCGCCGCCGCCGCTGTCCGCCGCCGCCGCCGCCGCCGCCCGCCGCCGCCGTCCGCCGCCGCAGCCGCCGCAGCCGCTGCTCCCGCCGCAGCCGCCGCAGCCGCCGCCGCCGCCGCCGCCAAGTGTGCTCTGTATTGTTTTTGACAGGGATGGTGGGGGGAGGCCGCATCGGGTTCGCTGCGCATGCTCCGAATTTGGAGGCAGAGTATGCTTTGTAATGTGTTTTACAAGGGATGGTGGGGGGGTGCCCGCAGGATGGTGGGGGGGGGCCCGCATTGACCCTGGTTGGCTCCCAGTCGCCTGGTGGAGGGGGTGTATACTACTAGGGAACAGTGGTAAACCCCTCCCCGAAGGGGAAGAAGGGTTTTTGAAAGAGGAAAGAATAATATCCTTAGACCACCTGTCGCCCAGAGGGTTGGTTGGATTGGAGATGCACCGCGTACGCTGGGACAGTATTCCGCGACATGCGTGGACTCGGCGGCGAAGGAGGGGGGAAGTGAGAAGAAGAAGGCCCTCTCAGAAGGTGGCGGGACTTCTTAAAAACCCCCGCGCCTTCTGAGAGTCTGCGTCTTCGGGGGAAGCTCAGGACATGTCTCAAAAGGTCGGGGGGCTTCCGAGCTTTCTGACAAGGTCCGCCCCTTCGCACTTGCCCCCGGGCTGGCCGCCGATGGGCGCATGTGGTTTACACGCTGGCGTTCAATCTTAAATGGTAAGTATTGACTTTGCGCGTACAGTGGAAAGCCATGCCAAGAAACACCCTGCTTGCCTATAGGGTGCCTTTAGTTTCTTGGGTGTCGATGGTTCTGCTATGGAGAGCATGACGTTCCAGCCAAAAAACAATGGTCGTCATAGGGGTCTCAGGGTTGTGTTTCTTATGGAAGGTTTGTTGTGGTCGAGCTCCTATTGTACACCCACCAGCCCAGTCACAAGCCCTGCCCGTGAGAGTTCTGGCGGGAAGAGGGGCGAAGGGGCACACACGTAGTACAACAAAAAGCGGGCAACCGGGCGAACCGAGAGAGATGTTTGGAAGTGAAAGGTTTTGGCCTCGGAGGGCACTTTCGGGCCATCCTTGCGGCCCACGTGGGAGCGGGGGAAGGAGAAGGAGGACGAGGAGAAGGAGGAGGAGGACGACGACGACGACCACGACGACGATGAGGAAGAGGAGGAAACAGAAAAGGCAAACGAAGACGATGAGGGCAAGGGCGAGGACGAGGACGAGGAGGAAAAGGAAGAGGAGGAGGAGGACATCGAGGACGAGGACAGAGCCCTCAATATCGTCGCTTGCAGCCCTCTACGGACTCTTTACGGGGATATTGGGGTCATCTTGGGGCTCTTTGGGGTGTCTTGGAGCCCGCTTGGGACCTCTCGGAGCCGTCTTGGGGGTCCCTTGGGGACCCTGGAGGACCTCTTGGGGCCATCCTGGAGGCCATCGATCGAACGGTTTGGGGTCCTCGAGTTCCCTGGGAAGGGGGGGTGTTAAACCTCCTTGAAGGGAAGAGCGTCTTTGGAAGAGGAACAAATCGATACCGTTAGACCACCTTATCCCAGAAATATTGTGGGATTTGCAGTCACAGGGTTGGATGATATAGATTTACCACATATATATATATATATATATATATATATATATATATATATATTGTATACACGAAAGCCAGCGTGGACCCAACACAGTGTGTTCCAGCCTGTAGGGTTGCAATACACGTGATGCAACCTTTGTTGTGCAAGCCATGTGGTGAGCAATCGATGCGGTGAGCAATCGAAGTGGCGCAATGCATGCAGTACAGTATATGTGGATGTTCTATGTGGGGCCGAACGTACTCGTCTATGTGGTGCAAGTTCGGTGGTGCAATCTATGTGGTTCGACCTGTGGGCGCGCTATGTAGTGCAAAATGTGTGGTGTGAGCCATATGGTGCAATCTATGTGGTGCGATGTAGTGCTGTAGTGCTACGTGGTGTAAGCTACGAGATGCACTATTATGTCGTGTATTATGTTTGGTGCAAGCTTTGTAGTGCAATAAATGTGCTACTAATTAGTTCACTCGATCGCATTGCATTGCAATCGATTGCAATGCGACGGGGGCGGGCTTGCAGCGGGGCGGGGGCGAGTGCGGTGACGAGGCGGCGACGCGTCCACATAGCCGCCGGACCGATAGGCAGGCCCACAGCGACGGGGCGGCGACGGCGACTACATAGTCGCCAGACCGACGGGCAGGCCCAGAAAACGGGCGTCGACGAGGCGGCGAGGGGGCGGCGACGACGACCACGTAGCCGCCATACCGACGGGCAGGCCGAGTTCCTTAGGAAAGAGATAAGAAGCCCTAAGTGCAGGCACTGCTTGGGGACTATATTCAAACTTGTGCGGCTGTGCAGTTGTTTAGCCGGGGTCGTTGCATGTGCTTACGCAGATTTGAGTATAGTCAAGGGCGTGATGACACCCCGATCCCCATAGTAGTTGAAAAACAGTCTGGTGCGCTTACTAAGCAGCCGCTTCTCTTGCGGATCCTTCTTCAGGCGCCTTTATTGCAGGGCCTCCGTTGAACGGGTGCTCATGTTATCTGATGGTGATTCCGCCCTGTCTGGTTAACGCTACAAAGTCAGCGTCGCAGATGATCAGAGAGCAGGCTTTGCGGATGGAATTGACCTTGGGTGTCAGCGCACGTGCAGGTGGCAGTGGCAACACTTCTACCTTCAAGGAGGGTGACCTTGTTCAATATTGGAGTAAGAAAACTGGAACCTACGTCCGGGCCATCGTGCAGGCGTCGCGGCATCAGGAAGCCAGTGCAATGGGGCGGATATATCGATACAGATCTACCTATGTATGTGTAGATCTTGATATAAGTCAGTAGTGTGTTATGTCGTGCTGACTCTTCAGATATGGTCACGATCCTACCATGCTGTTGGATCGCCTTGCGTACTGCATGCAGTCAGTGAGCGTGTTTGCAGTTCCTACCATGTGCCTTCCAAGGGAATCTCCACAAGTGTCATTGGGCTGTCTTTCCTCGGCGCTATCCGTCATCGAGTGGTCATCGGCTCATCCCGCCATCTTTATTGGCCGCCCAGACGGCCCCAGGAGCAATCTGAATTGTCACCAATCCGTCGGTCAAGCTCCCCGGCCCCACAACGTGGTTTGGTTGTCCCCGGTAGCAAGCAAACAAGCTCCATCCGCTGTCCTTCCGCCTATCTTTGTTGTCTCTCACTCTCTCTCTCTCTCTCTCTTTCTCTCTCTCTCTCTCTCTCCATTCCCCCATACATCGATCCCCTCCTTCTCCCCGCCTCTTCGTCTTTTGCTCCCTCCTTCCAGTCTGGCCTAGTACCGTTTAATTTGGCTCACGTAATCCTGACATTTCCCGCCAAACCAGGCTTACGACCAGTTTAAATTTGGGGCAAGTTTGGCCCAATGGCCTTTCAAGTTGGCTTAGAAGCCCCCGCTCGTCGGAGGACAGAACAGCACTCCTCGGAGGAAAGAATCGCGTCAGGGCTGGGGACTGGGGGTGTCGCGAGCGGGGGAATGTGGACCGCATCACCAGGAGGACCATTCTTGGCGCTTCGCGCTGGTGGTTGTGGTGCCGCTTTTCCTTGCTCACCACGTCTAGCAAGGAGGCAAAGAAATGAGCCGCATGCAAAGAATGGGTAAGCATGTACCTCTTCCTCGTCCTCCACCCTTCAGCGGCGCGCAGATGGGGGTACAGGGAGGGGGCAAGGCGTCTTAGGAGGGAGATTCTGAGAAGTCGCGAACCCCACATCTACAGACAAGGCCCGCGCCTTCGAAGAAGCAGGGGTGCTTCTAAGATTGCATTCTTGGATCCCCTTCTGAGGCTCGATTCCTTGAATTCCATTTAAATGTCCAGGAAATGTCTGGGAGCGCTTTTTGAGCAGCCCTTGTTGAAAGCCTTAACATGGATTTGTAAACCCTTTATCAAATGTCAGCATGATGGCCTGTCGGGAACCCCGATCGATGCCGAAGCGTAGCATTGTTTTGCCGCGGGTCGGCCCAGAGCGCTCAAACGTATCGTAAAGCTTCGAGGCGTAGGGCTTAGGGCATCGGGCTTAGAGCAGAGAGCATACGGCATCGGGCTTCGGGCTTCGGGCTTAAGGCTGAGGGCTTCGGCCTTATGGCTTAGGTCTAGGGTTAGGGCTGAGGGCTTAGGGCTGAGGGCTTATGGGTTTGGGCTTAAGGCTTAAGGGCTTAGGGCGTAGGGCTTGAGGCATCGGGCATGGGGCTTTAAGCTTAGGGCTCATGGCTTGGGTGGCCCGCGTTGGATCGTTTACGGGGAAGGTCGGTTTTCGGGGAGAGGGCGGGGAAAGGGCGGCGGCGGGGGAGGACGAGATAAGCGAGCAGGAAGTCGGTGGCAGAAGCGGGGGATCATAATAAGGGTAACGCTGCGGAGACGGTGGGCCAGGAGGGAGAAACGGGACGGGGTTCGAAAAGCGCCCCGATACACTTTCTGTTAGGTGGGTTCTGAGGTCTCGGGGCTTACAGGTGGGGTGATGCCTCCCCCATTCAACTCCCCTTACTTGTCTTCCTGCGTTCCTCGTTCCTTCTCCCCTCAGCTTTCGCTCCCCCGCCCCCCGTTCCCCTCTTCGCGTTTCCATATTCGCATTTCCATTACCAAGCTCCGCCTTACCCTTGCCCTCCCCCCGTGCCGTCTCCCGCCTCCATTCCCAGCCTCCTTCGCGCGGGAGTCGCGCGCCCGCGCGCCGCCCCCCGCTCATATTTGGACCCCATCTACATCGCGCAGGCCCGCGCGCGCGCGCGCTCGCGCGTGCGCGCGCGAGCTTGCGCGCCCTCCTCCACCACGTCCTGCGGGGGGGGCACGGGTCCAACTCGGCGAAACCTCGGCCGACCAACCCAGCGCACGGGGTGCCCGCGAGGTGCCCGCCAGGCGGCGTAGCTCCAAACAAAATCCCAGTAAGAGCTCGCACATATAGTATGTGTTGGGGGCATTTTGGGCAGGGGCGCTTGTATGTCATCAAGCATGGGCCCCGCTCAAGACTTCCTCACCACGCGAACGATTTGACAGAGTTGGCTGCAGCAATATCCCCCTCGGCGCCCTCTGAATCTGCCAATTGTCATTGTCATGAAGCCCCCCTCAAATCCCCCAGGACACTTAGCAGCACCTTCAAGGTGTTTGCATTGCTCTCATGGGGGATGGGGTCGCATTTGGTTCGGGGCAACGCGTTCATTGTTTCGGGTGCTATCGCGCACGTGCGCGCGAAGCTGCGCGACCGCTATTGCGCGTCGGGGTGGGCGCCATAATGCGTGAATAATGTGGCGCAATCTGCGTGGTGTACGCTGTGGTGTGGCTGCTATTGCGCGTGCGCGACGTGCAGTGGTATTGATTGTTTGCAACGCGTTGCGTTAACTATCTGGTGTGGGCTATGTGGTAGCAGGAGCGTCGCATGTGTAGTCATGGGGCAGAAATAAGAGCCTCCTTCGAGGCCGCAATGCTTGAATTGCGGGGCCATGTTGAAGCCGTGTTGAGGCCATCAAGGCAGGGCCTCACTATCGCACCGAAATTCTTCCTATATGTTGATTGGGCGATGGGGCCATGGTGAGGCAATGCTGAGGCCCTCAGGTCAGGCCCTTAGGTCGGGTGAGGATGTCTCTGGCGAGCGTCGCGTCTTTTTTTCGGCAGTCTTGAGGGCGCTTTTGGTGTCATCATGAGGCCCGTGTCTCGGGGGCCGAGGGCCGACGAGGTCATGCAGTTGCTGTTTGGGGCCCACGCTGGCGAACATGGCTGCGCCCGATTCGCATGTCGGTTATGGCATGGGCGCGTGCGTTTCCCCAAGTGCAGTGCTTACACTCTGCTTCCGCTATGCGCGGTGCTGTTCATCGCAGTTCTTTCCGCCTTGCTCTCGCCTCGACACGCCCTGGCCCTTGCCTCCCACCGCCTTGCCCGTGCCTCGCCTCGTCAGCCATTTTGGCTAGAAGCGCAGCGCGCTGGGCGCGCCGTGCGCTGGGCGCGGCCACGCGTGCGAATACAGAACGCTTCGCGCATCCCCGCCAGCCCATTCAAAGGTGGCGCCCGTGAGCTGACGGTGTGTGGGGAGGGGGGGACAATGCAAACGTGTATATAATATATATATATATATCTATGTATATGTATATATAGCTGTTTTCGGCCCACCCTGTCACCGTGTTTGGGTTGTGGGTGAGAGGCCTCTTGGACGTTGGTCGGGGTGCCATGGTAGGCGTCTCGGGTGGCATCCAGGGACAGTTTTGAAGCCGCTTGCTCGCGGGGGCGGCGGTCGGGGGGGGGTGCGCCCCCCCTCCCCCCCCGAGGGAAGATTGGATTGGGGGAATAGGGAAGAGTTCGATAAGCCCTTTACGCCCATAGGGATGGCTGGAGTTCACACTCTTGCTATTTAGCAGCATGCGATGCCCGCCAAACGCCCCAGACTGGATGCAGATATCGCCGACAGCGCTGCGCTCATTCTGTCCCACGCCGAGGTCGTTGCAGCGCTGCCCAGCAAGAGGCTTTATTGGGAGAGCCCGCTGACGGCCAGAATTCAATCTATACTGAGTGCTGCCCGTCGCCATAACCTCGAGCCTTCAGAAGTTGCCAGAGGATTATTGATTGAGGGCCTCGGCGGCGCTGTGCGCGCCAGCCTTGCATCGCAGGCCGCGCCCCTGAACGCCTCCGAGTGGGCCTTCAAGAGCAGGATGGGGAGAGCGGCTGCTTGGGCGTGGCTCCTGGACCGTTGGCATAGACACCATATCGTCAAAATGATTGCACTTCGCGCTCGCTCGCGCGGTGCGCACATCGAGCTGATCCAAGCGTGTGACCACGTATCGTATGACGAGACGCCCTTGGAGCTCCAGAGCATGAGCGAGCATCGCGAGGTATCGCGAGGCGCCCCTTCTGCACTTCCCCCCGCCGCGGGTTCCGAAGTCGCGACTATGACATCTCGGGCCCTAGCTGTGGCGTTGCTGAGGGGGGCGTTCCGCGGATTCAGGGCTAAGACGATCACGAAGCTCTTCGCCACCAAGGCTCGGTATTGCCACCTCGTCAGGCTCACGATGAATGGACAGATGCGCTACGTCTACCTCGTCGGCGACGTGGTATGCCAGGTTCAGCCGTTGGCGAGCACTTCGGCTGCATGCCAGGCACTTGCGTTGATGGAGTCTGGGTCGGCTTCGCTGTCGGAGAGCACGTTCAGCCACAAAGTGAGGATCACGGACGCGGACGGCCACAGGTCGAACAGAGCTGGAGAACGCATATTGGACCGCAAGCGTGAGCCTGGATGGGTTTGTCTTTTCTACCAGTGCCAAGCTCACTCTATAGTGCGGGCACACAACATTGCCATGAAGCACGTCGACGTTGGCATCAAGGGGGTGATCCACCTATCGCTGTGCTTCAGAGTAGCGGGGAGCAAGGATTCCTTTAACACTCATCTTTGGAAGGAGGTCCACCGCCGACTCAGGGTCCGATAAGGCAGCCCATCAAATGACGACGTTATCTACAACCATGTCGTGCTCAAGTCGTTCGTTTCTGGAGACGGCCAGAAGACCCGCAGGCGCGTGTTATTCACTCTCTTGCCCAGCAGCTCCATGGCCGACACGCGCGAGATCACCATATGGGTTGATTATGCAGCTGGCCTGGGCGAAGACGTTTTGAAAACATCGGTTGCAGATTCAATGGTAGACGCATTGATGCCGCGTGCCCTGAGAGTGCTGATCAGGAGCAAGTGGGGCACCAGTGAGTCGGCGATCTGCGACGCGGGCCTCACCGAGATGTGTCATGGGCTTTTGGGCCCAGCATTCACGTCATGGTGCAGGTCGTTCGGAAGGGGGCGGTCGAAGCAGCATGCGTTGGCGGCCCTGGTTGACGGTCGCGTGGACGACGTTGGCGCCGACGAGTGCGAGGACGACGATATGGGCGCCCACGAGGGCGCGGGTGGCGATGCGGAGGCCGCTGGCGCTGGCAGCCGCCGAGAGAGGCTCAACAAGCATATGGCGTTCGCGATGGATTTCATGTCTAATAAACGCCCAGTCCCCCACACATTCTTCGTTCTCGCCAGCAACATCTTGAGGCCCTTGCAGGCGATGCTGCGGAAACATTGTTATTTGACGTCGAAGGAGTTCGAGAAAAAAGGAACGAGTACATGCTGCCAAGCGCACCGCAGAGGGGACAGTCGGCATTAACAGATCGTTCCCTGTCACGGTTCTTGCCGACGGCGTCTTGGAGACCAGGTGCTTCGAGAAGATGATGCTGCTACTGTTCACCCCAGCGGCCTGGCACTTGATCAGGCCAGAGGAAGTCAAGAACAGAAACACGTCGCTCGCCTTCATCATGATATCCGACGCTCTCGCCACCATAACCCAGGAGGTTGCATTGGTGAACCAAGGGTTTCCCACGCGACTGTTTCAGCTCTTCCAGCAGCCCGAGCTGGGGCCAACGATGGAGGCCGCCCCCGACTGCATGAAGGACGCGTTCACGAAGGAGCTGCAATCATCATGTCGGTTGGGGGGCGAGGAATGTTTGATGCGCTTGGCGGCTATGGCCATGCTGATCCAAGGCAACACCGTCCCCAACGAGGTCTTCAACGCCCAGATGCGGAAGATCGTCAAGTCTAGAACGCAGTGCCCCCAGTTCAAGGCGGTTGACCTGTCGACAGCTTGCGCGGGCGTGCACAGCCGCGCCAAAACTGAGGATGTCACCCGCCCACGTCACGGGCCAGTTCACGAGCCGCGTGCTGGCGGAGGTTCTGGGGCACATGCAGCTGAGCGCCGAAGGTACCAGCACGAGCATCATACAGGCGCTTGGGGCGTTTTTCAACATGAGCAGGGCATCAATGACATGAGGGAGGCGTCGGCGCGGTACCGCGCGTTGCCCCCTGCTGAGCGGGCGCGCCTGGCGGAAGAAGGTCGGAGAGCTGCCGCGAGGGCCCGTGACGGCTTCCGCGCCCTCCCGCCAACCCAGCGGCCAGTGGGCATGCATCGCAACGCCAGGCTTGCGACTACAGCCATTGAGAGGTTTGCTGGCCGTGACCCCGATGACACAGTCGACTTCCTGATCCGTGAGTGCGGGGCTTCAGGAACGAGCTTGAAGGATACCTTGTCCACGGTAGCGTCTTATCGGAGGGGCTTGGCTGGCCATCAGCGCCTCCAGGAAGAAGCAGACAATCAACTTCTCGAGTTGTATCGGGATGATGAGTCGAGAAGGGTCGTCCCCGAGCTGGTGCATGCGATCCCATCGCTGGGGCCCGTGAGAGGGGTTCTCAGGTGTTTGCCGCCTGTTCTTGGAGCAGCCGTGGTTGAGCGAGACGCGTCGAGCTCCGCTGACGACGTTGCCTTGCTCGAGGAGGCGGCCCACGGAATGTCCGTCACGCATCAGTCCAATGTGCAGCAGGCCGCTGAGATGATGTGGAACCACATGCACCGATTGCTACCTGACGATCCTGAACTGTCATCCCTTGGTGATGCCGCTGATGACCCAGCAGAGCAGTTCAAGGACGGAGAGTGCCTGCGCTACGGCATGTGCGTGTGCGGTGCGGTGCACGACGGCTTGCGAGCGTTGCGCCGCAAGGTGTTCCAGGCTACGAAGATGACGTTCAGCAAGGCCAGCCCGCAGACGAGAGGGCTCCTGGTTGGCCGCAGGGTCATCGCCCGCTTCATCTGGCTGGCGGACGATAGCGACGAGGACGAACTCATGAATGATCTTGGTTTGGAGCCACTCTATTGGCATTTGTCGGGCGTGAAGTTTTCGCCGCACGAGCTCATGATGCAGCCCATGACGCCCGCGTCGCCTGCTGAGCGGCACGACGCGCGCGCTACGGACGACGAGCACTGCTTGAAGGTCAGGCTCCGTCAACCCCTCACCCACCCCCCACTACCACATGAGTGACGCTGGGGGCGGGAAGGGGGGGGGAGAGGGAGGGCGCGATGATGGGGGCAAGGAGGGGCGTGGAGGAGGGGACGGAGGGATGAGCATGAGGAACGATCGCGTCGCCCCCCCTCCTCATCCCTCCCGCCTCGGCCTCGCCAGCCCTTCTCATTCCCCCTCTTCACTTGCCCCATCCCTCCCCCCTTGTCGCCCTCCTCACCTTTCCCACCCCTCCACACTCCTCCTCCTCCTCACCCCCTTTTCCTCAGCCTCCGACTTGTGAGGATGACGATTTTACGACCGCTTCTTCGCGCGATGTGTTTTCTGGTGGGGGGGGGGGAGCGGCGGGCGGCGGGTTGCGCGCGCCCCGAAGGGTTGTGGGCTGAGCCCGCCGACGTTCATCGCGCTGGCCTCCGTCCCGCTGCAGCCGAGGATCATGCTTGATTTTCTTATTGTGGAGGTCCACGACCGCGAGCGGCTGGCCTTCGTTCCAGCGGTTGTGATTGCAGAGGAGCTCGCAGGCGTGGACCCGTTTCAGGTCTGGCCAGCCGCGGCGAGGCGGCGTCGCGGGGCCACGCGCGGCAGGGGCCGCGGTGGGCGCGCAGGCGTGGCGCCTGGACGAGGACGTGGTCGAGGCCGTATCCCCCTTCTTCTCCAAACACCCACCCACTGGAGATGATGAGGAGTAGGATGGGATGACGATGGGGGTTGTGGGGGCGGATGAGGAGGATCAAGGGGGTGTGAGGAGGGCGGGGGGTTGCCCGAAACAGGCGCTGGCCCTCACGCACCAATACACGGGAGCAAGCAACGCAACAAATGCACAAGGCACGCGATCAGAGATACCGCGTGCCTTGTGCATTTGTTGTTGCATTGTTGCTGTGTTGCATTGTGCTGCGTTGCATATGATGTCTGTGTTGCGCCTTGTCCCGTTGCAGTTTCCCCGTTACGTTATGCCCTGGGGCCTTCGAAATAAAAATGTGAATTGCGCAGCCTTGAGGCTATCTTGGGCTCTAGGTCGTTGATCTCTGATGCATCTTGGCCCTTGGACCGCCTGGGGCCCGCGGTGGGCCAGGATGGCGAGAGCGGCTCCCAAAACGCAAAGGGGAAGGGCCGAGCCCAGCACTGACGCGTCGAGCCCCCGCCCCACAGAATCACCAACCATCCATGAGCTAAGAGCCAAGCATCCCCCAATAGCGAAGCAAGATGATTTGGGACTCCGATGAGGCCGCGGCCGAGCTGCGCCTGATGCAGGCGCGGACGCCGCGCCAGCGGCTGGGGGGCCCGACGGAGGGGGCGCCGTCGCTCTTGGCGCGCTGCCGTTGGAGGATGGCGCGGAGGATCGGACAAGCGCCAGCGAGTCCGATGACGGCGGGGATGATGATGACTGCGGCCATCAGGACGAGGACGCCTGTGGGGGGCACACAATGCACGTATACGGCGTATACGGAGCTATGTAGGTCGACGGGCAGCGGTGGTGACACAGAGCTCCGGTTCGTTGGGCAACGCCCCCTCCCTGCGGAGTCGGCGCGGTTGTCAGGGTGGATGTTCGCATGTAGTTCGAAGGCATGTAGTTTGAAGGAGTTTGCAGGCGTTTGCCCCCCCCCCCCCCCAGGTAATTGGGGCAATGCGCTTTGCGAGGGGATGCAGTCAGTCTTATCGGGTGCGTTTGGCGGCGCGATCTCGGTCACCCCCCCCCGTTCGAGCCCCCTCGCCCGTCCCCTCGTTGCCGCTCCAGTCGCTTTCAGAGCTCGTTGGGCCAGGGGGGCGGCCTGGTGCGGTAGGGCTGTAGGCATGGCGCTAGCGCGGGGCAACGCGTTGAGGTGGGCACGTAAGAACGCAGCCTGCGGGATTGTCTTGCCTTCACCCCCACCCCACCCCGCTTGCACCACCTGCCCCATCTCACCCACAGCCGCCACAATTGCTGAAGTATGTCCCCGTTCCTCCCTTGCCCACCTTTTCTTCGCACCGCCCCCGCTACCCCTTCCCCTTGCGGGGGAAGGGAGCAGGGCTCGCTTTTTACGACCCCTGGTCGGTCCATAAAGTCCCTGGTGCCCCCAGAAGTGAGATGCCCAGCCCCTTCCTCGCAGGACGCCAGCGGAGATGATGGCGAAGACAGCGAGGACGGGATGAGCATCGGCGGCGAGTCGGACCAGTCCTCCGTCGACGCCGACTCGGACGTTGAGGGCGAGGCTGGGGCGGGCTCTGCGGGCGGGGCGGACGAGCCCCCCGCTCCCCTCGACCACCCGACGCCTCCTGGCTCGCCCGAAGCTCTTGCCCCAGGTCCCGAGGCAGAGCCCCGTCCACCGCCTCCTGAGGCAGACCCCCAGCCACCTGAGCCAGAGCCAGTCATGGCTATGGACGTGCATCCTGTTCCCTTCGTTGCCCCGCCCTTGCCTCCACCGATGGCGCCGCCAGGGCCCCCACCTCCGCCCCCACCTCCTCCGCCGCCCCTTCCAGCAGATGTGTTTGCCCTGCCGAATGTAATCACGTATTTTGTACCAGGCAGTGAATTCGGCAGCAAAATCGCTTGGTATAAGTCGACTAGGAGCGTCGAGGTATCTTGCAGAAACCCTGATCATGCGCATCTTTTGTGCAGGGTTACCCGCACGACCAAGCCTTTTACGAGACCCCCTGGCCACCCTAATCAGGGGCGCCCGATGGGCTTTGCCGCGGCATGGATTTGCGAGGGATGTCGAGATCCCAATGGGAGGGCGTCGCACCAGCGTTTCGAGCCCACCCGTGCCATGCGTCGCGCGGCCAGGGATGCGCTCAAGACGTCGGCGGCTGGCAGGTTGTTGTTGCGAGCTGAGCGACAGCAGCGCCCAGACGAGGTGGATTCAGAGCCAGGTATGTGATGCGTTCGGTTTCGAGGCATCGTAGTTGCATTGTGCACTTGCGTTGCGCGCTCAGCGCGCGCTGTGACTTGAGTTCCCCGTCCCCCCTCTCAGTGCGGGGCGCGGCGAGCCCGATGCACGGGTTCGTGGCGACGTCGGGCGCTGTTGATCGTTTACACGGGGTGGCAAGGCGAGGAGGGCAATGACATGTGATGGGGATGGTGGGGGATGTCCATTCGAGATGGCCCGAGTGACTGTTGACACATCGATTGCGCGATGGTGAACGCCTCATCTTCCTAATGCCCTCCATCCGTGCCGCCATCGTCGATTGTGCCGTGTCTGCCGTGCCGCTTGATCACGTCGGGGCTTGAGGCGGTGCCCCGCTGACGAAACTGTCTCCAGCTGCATTGTCGTGAGGAGGGGGGAGGGTGATGATGATGATCAGCAGCAGCAGCAGCAGGATCAGCGGCTGCCAAGCGCAGCACAGGATAAAAGGCTTCCGCCCTCCGCCGCGCCGACGCCGACGATCCGCGTGAGGGGTGATCCGATCTGGGCGGAGCTCCTTGGCTTCTCTCTTATGGGCCCGCTGGGGTTCAGGGTGTCTGGGGGCACCACTGCGGCCCCAGTTTGGCCAAAGTGGCGGTTTGGATAGGCCCATGTGGGGCCCGCAGGTGGCGCCGCAAGGTTTTCAAGGGCCTCTTAGTGGCCATGGCGTCTGATGGACCCCGACGGCGTCTAAGGCAAGGGGCCCCATAGGGCTCTTGAGAGGGATCAAGAAGGCGTCGGTGGACCTCGGGCCCCTGGGCCCCACTGGGGCCTCAGGCCCCCCACTCCCCATCGGGCTCTTGGGGGATTCCACAGGGTTCCAAGGGGCCTCGGGGCTTCTAGGTACCCCTGCTCCTCCTCCTCGGGCACCGACGGGGGTCACGGCAGGCGAGTGCACATATGGCGACCATGAGGGTCGTGGTATGGGCCCTTCTTCCCCCTCTTAAGGGATGGGAAGGGCCCTTACCTCGTTGCACTATGTGCAACGCCCCATGGCCTGTGACCAGCAGTGTGCCGTCTTCCTGTAGGGCCACCCCCCCCCCCCACTCCGCTCCTTCTGTCCACCTTCGCTGGAGTGAGGGTGGACAGAGGGGGGCGCCCTTCCGCGCCCTCCGTTCGGAGGGGAAGACGGGGCCCAGGAGAGCGGTCCCTCCCTTTACGGGCACTGCGCCTGAGGGGGCCGCGCGGGGGGGGGCCCTCGCCTCCCTTTTTTGTTTCTCCTGCACGCACAATGCGCGTTCTGACGAACAGAATTTCGAAGGCGAGTCCAACCGTGGTGGCGACGGAGGGCCTGGAGGCCAAAAACCGCCCACCTCCCCTTCCTGCAATCCTCCTCGGCCCCAGCGGCCAGCGTCTGGCTCCCGCAGGGCTCCCTCCAAACGGTGCCCTTGGACCACGGGCGCCTGGGCAGACCTTCTGGTCCCCCCTCAGGCACCCCGCAGGGTTTCTCGGGGCCCGTGGGCTTGGGAAGTAATATCTCATACGCCGACGCGCCCATCGGCCAGCGGAACATATTCGCTGGCTGCCACCGCCAGGCTCGCTCCATTCCCATATGCCTATCGGCAAGCGCCGCCCCCGCAAGAGAAAGTGGAGACGGTTGCGCATTTGGCAGCCGCCCAGTGGCTCTCGGCTGGCTGGTTTGCTGGCTGGTCGGCTGGACTGGCTATCGTGCCCAGGGGGCGCGCGGGATCGTTCGCGCTTCTCGTGCGCCGATTGGCTCGCCGCCGTGGTCGGCGCCCTTGCTGGTGCCGCCGCCGCTTATGAATATATGTTTTTCGGCAATGGCATGCCGCCAACCCCTCTCCGCCCGCGCGCCGCGCTGGCTGGTTGGCTGGTTGGTTGGTCTCCAACCGCGGTTGGCTGATTGGTTGTGTTGGTTGGTTGGCTTGTTTGCACCGCAGGTTGGCTGGTTGTTTGGTTGGCCGATTGCCTTTGTTAAGGCTCATAGGCGCATATCGCCGCGCAGGCAAGTCCTGCGTGTGCATGTGCAGGCATACGAACAGACATCCATTAAGCCATAGTTGTAAAGAAGCAGACAAGTACGTTTACGTTGCGGCGTTGGCTTTTTCTTTTGTAAGCGTTTCATATATACAT